TATCATCATCATCCCCCTCCTCCTCCTCCTCCTCCTCCTCCTCCTCCTCCTCCTCCTTCTCTCCGTAGCCATTTTGGCTCAAGCTGCTTTGTTTCACAGGGGCACACGTGGATACGGCTAGTCCGCGGCCAGTGCCAGGGTTGCTCAGCCCGACAGATTCTGCGAGGGGTGGTCCGCCCCACTCTCTCGGCTCGGCTCCTTCGCTTCCATGGCGCGCAAGGCTCCTTTCTCTTAATGCGGCCAGTGCAGCAACTGGGCCTACAACTTTCGCATCCGCAGGAACGACGGCAAGTGCGGGAAGTGCTCTGCCCCGATCCACATGTACGAGAAGCCTGCGCCGTGGAAGGCGAGCTCGTCCTGGCACGGCTCGGCTTCTCATTCGCCTCCGCTCGAGCCCCGCGGTCCTCTTGGCGCAGCTCGCGCGCCTCCCCATGTTCGCTGGTGAAGTGCGGACGCTTGTGGCGGCTCAGCAGCGCTACACGGAGGAGTCGGCCAAGAAGCACTCCGCGCGTCGACTACTCCTACACGGCGAGGGTGCTCGAGCAGAAGGAGGCTGCCCTCTCCCGTGCCTCGGCTGCGGTCGTCGCGGCGGAGCGGGCGCTGGCCGACGCTCAGCAGGCGGCGCAGGCGGCGGCGGCTGAGCAGCAGCGCGCAAAGGCGGCCCACGATGCGGCTGTGGAGCGCGTCGCTGCGAAGGCCAACGTCAAGAGCGTCCCTGAGGGCTACACGTCTGACGGCAAGAGGGTGGCCTTCGCGGTGGATGACCAGCTGTTCGCCGACATCGGCGAGTCCGACGCCGAGCAGCAGACGCAGCTCAAGGACTTCGAGGCCCAGATCAAGGAAAAGCGTGACCAGGGCTCGGCGCTGCAGGCGGAGGTCCACGCGCACTGCGAGCGCGTGCGGGTCCTCCGCAGCTCCCGCCCCAAGCGCCAGCGCGTCCACGAGGACGGCGCGGCGGCCCCCACCCACGCCGAGGGCGCCTCGCAGCCACCGCAGGCTGCCGAGGCGCGCGGGCCTCCGGAGGGAGGAGGCCCCGCTGGCGCGGCCGCCGCTGCAGCCCCCACCCCCGGGGCCTCCGGCGATGGGAGGGGCAGGCCGCCCTCGACGAGGCTGCCAAGGCTGCCTACGAGGAGGCAGTCGCCAGGGCGAGGGCCGACGCCGTCGCGAAGGCCCCGGGGCGGCGGCACAGGCGCTGCTGGCGCTCCCGGTGCTGCCGGCGGCTCTGCGGCAGCCGCGCCTAGCCTCTGACACGCCAGGCGATGAGGCTCAGCCGCCCCGTACGAGTTCGACCCCTACACGTTCGACGGCCGCCCTGGGAGCCCATGCCCGGGGACCGCCGCCGACGTCGGCGGAGTCCTCGATCGTCTTCGCCAGCATCTCTGAATGGGGCCCTGTGGCCCGTGGTTCCATGCGGGGGCGAGCCTCCATGCACGACACCGTCACGCTCACCGGGACGCATGTTTGGGGGGAGAAGCTGGACAAAGCCAAGCGCGACCTGGGCGAGGACGGGTGGGAAGTGATAGCCACCCCTGCAGTGCCCATTGGCCGCTCTTCTGCGGGCAACACTGGCGGCGAGTGGGCGATGGCGAAGAAGACGTTGTCCACCACCTCTTTCGCGTCCCTGCGCACCGCCGAGCTGAAGCGCACGGGCAAGGACTGCTTCAGGGGATTCTCTCATCTTCTCTGGCATACGCGCGCTGGAAACATCGTCGTCATCTCTTGTTATCTGCTCCCTGCCCATAAGTTCAGAGGTCCGAATGAGCAACTGTTAATCCGACTGGGCGCCTCCAGCGCCCTGACCTGCATCATAGAGTGGCAAGGACTTGGGAGCGCATTCGTTCACGCCTCCGTCTCGCGGGCGCTCGGCGATGGAGGATCGTCAAGGGCCCCATCGCGTCGACGATTGACACTCTGCTCGACGTCGGCTGGGACCCGCGTAGCCCCATGGAGTGGATTTCGGACCAGGATGTGCTCTGGCGCATACCTTCGATCGTGGATGACGAGTTCGACTCTCTCCACGGCGACTTCACCGACATCTTAGACGACAGCGAGGACTCCGTGGACCGCCAGCTCTGGGCCACTGCCTCGTTGCATGATGCTGGTCCTGACCTCCGCGACGGCGCCGATATGTACCAGGTCTGCCGCGAGTTCCGCAGGCTTGAGCCCGACGGCGGCCTCGACCACTGGGCCCTGAACGCCGTGGTCGTTGCTGGTGGGCAGTGGCCCCGTGAGCGCCAGCGCGCCGCGGGCTACGTCCTCTCACCCACGTGTCAGCGCTGTCTCAAGGAGCCCGAGGAATCTGTCCATCGGGTTTGGAGCTGTGAGGCCAACAGAGGCCACAAAGATTTTGATGATAGCGTGCACCTCATCGAGCAAGCCCGTGTGAGCCAGCATAGCTGCCCCAGCTTTTGGTTGCGTGGAGTCCCTGGCCGAGCCGAAACGGTCCCCAGGTTCGAGGACAAACCACCAACCCGCCTGTCTTTTGGATCCCTTGATGCCGCCCCCCCGACGCCGAAGGTTACGTCACCTTTGTCGGGGATGGGTCGGGCGGGAGGTTCTCGGACGACCCTCGGCGTCGACGGGTCGGCACAGGGCTTGTTGGCTTGGCTCCTTCTTGCGATGTTTGGGAGCCTGTCTGGGGTCTTTGTTGTTCGATCGAGGCCGACGGCAAACTGTTCCTAGAGCGGGATAACGGCGCTCGCGGAGGCCTTGGAGGCCACTGTTGGGGGGCCTCCGCTGTATTACTGATCGTCGCCCTCTGCTGGACTCCTGGGCCAAAGGTCCCGGCTCGTGCGAGGCGCCTGAGGGCGATCAAACCTCGACCTTTGGGCCAGGATCCAGAATGCGGCGGAGGCTCGTGGCTCAGGCGCTGTCGATCTGATTTGGGCCCCGTCTCACCAGGAGAATTTGACCACTTCCCGACAGGACATGTCCCATGCTTTCGGCAATGAGCGTGCTGATGCCCTGGCTGCTGAAGCGGCCGAGCGTGGCTGGACCGGATTCGTGATTGCACCTCCCCCCCTCACGGACCGACGGGACGCGGAGGCCGCCCTTTGTGCAGAGGAGGGCGCGTCGAGCCCTGGCAGCGAGCATCCAAGCTGATCCATGGACCGCCGAGCGTCCCGACCGTGAGGGGGCCCCTCCCCTCCCCAAGCTTGCGCAGGCTTTGCAGTCGTCCGAGCAGTGTTGGGGTCGCGCTGGTGCTAAGTTCTTCTGCCGTCGATGCCACCTGTTCTCGAATCAGGATTCGATGTTTCAGATGTGTGCTGCGCGTTGTGCTTCTCAGAGCTCCTCCGAGTTTTCGCCGCTTCGGGGTCCCCAGGTCGTTGGTGGAAAGGAGCTCCATGGGTCTCACACGCTGCAGCATTGGAAAAAATATCAGCTCACTGCCTGCACGGTCTGCGGCAAGAGTTGCACCACAAACCCCCGTCAACTAACCAAGATGTGCGAGCCGTCCAGGAAGGGACGGCAAAATCTAATTCGAGCTGGTAAGTTTCCCCATCCGTCTGGACATCCAAAGGCAGTCCGAGATGCTGAGTCTCAGGGGCTCTTGAATTCACATCGTATGCAGAAGCCATAATGCAGTTTCTGGTCGTACTGTCGGTTGCCAATTCGACAGGCTTCGCAATCTCCATATCCTAGACTTCTGCTGTCTTCATCCTGAGACGTTCTTCCTCCTCCTCATCATCATCATCCTCATACTCCTCCTCCTCCGCCGCCTCCTCCTCCTCTTCCTCCTCCTCCTCCTCCTCCTCATCCTCCTCCTCCTACTGCTCCTCCTCCTCGCCCTCCTCCTCCTCCTCCTCCTCGCCTTCTCCTCCCTCCTCTTCCTCCTCCTCCGCTCCTCCTCTTCCTTCCTCCTCCTCCTCCTCTCCTCCTCCTCCTCGCCTCCTCCTCCTTCCTCCTCCTCCTCCTTCTCTCCTCCTCCTCCTCCTCCTCAGCTCCTCCTCACCTCCTCCTCCTCCTCCTCCCTCCTCCTCCTCTCCTCCTCCTCCTCCTCCTCCTCCTCCTCCTCCTCCTCCTCCTCCTCCTCCTCCTCCTCCCCGCTCCCTGCCCGACGGGTGCGCTCCATTGGGGTGCAGTTGCGCTAGCGCCAGGGCGGCGTGGGCCACTGGAGGCAGGCGGCTTCTGAATTCGTCGGGCCGCGGCCGATGTTTCGGACGAAGACAGTCTGGAGGAACTTGGCGGCGCGCAGAGTGGGGTAGGGGGAGGGGGGAAGGCCTTCCTAGAAGGAGGCTGCTTCGTAGAAGGCGCGGGCCTTACACCTACAGGCAAGGCCTGCGCCTTCTAAGAAGCATGGGTGTTTCTAAGAAGCCTCCCCCCCTCCCCCTACCCCCCCTCTGCGCGTGGCCGAGGAACCCCAGGAGGGGAAAATCAATGATTCCCCTCAGGTGCATGAATGGTTTCCGTCGTCGCAATTGTCGTCGTCGTCGTCGTCGTCGTCGTCGTCGTCGTCGTCGTCGTCGTCGTCGTCGTCGTCGTCGTCGTCGTCGTCGTCCCCCTTCAGGGTCGGCGGCATCGGTCGTAAGGCCTTCAAAAACCGGACCAGGATGCGTCGGGGATCTCTGAGATCTGGCTGTCCTGGAGGATCCATCCCGAGCCGCGGCCTTTCCCAGAGCGCCCCGGAACGCCCTGAGAGCGCTCCAGAACGCTGCTTCTCTTCGGCGCGCACCGTCCAGCGCGACGCGCGGCTCCGGAAGACGGGCTTTGGCAGGCCGTCACCACCGCGCGGTTGCCTGCAGCATGCTCTGCAGAGGGGCCGCGGTGGTTGCCGCCGCCGGGCCCGAAGCGGGCCCCTGGAGCCCGAAGCCGAGGGAGGCGGCGGGGGAGCTCGAGACGCCACGACTGTCGAAGCTCTGGGCTCCTTGCCCTCCGCCGCTTCGCCATCTGCACCGCCGCGTCCTGGGCCTCCCCGACCGCCGCGTCCTGGAGGTGGCTCGCGTACTTGTCGAGCTCGTCCTCGCAGCGACGGCCCGCGAAGCCGACCCGCGTCCCCCGCGGCGCCTGCTCTCGAGGCGAGCCAATCGGACGGCACCAGGCTGCGAGATTCGAGGCGACTGCTTGACTCCCCGACTCCCCGACTCCCCGACTCCACGACTCCCTGACTCTCCGACCCCCCGACTCCCCCGACGGGCCGACTGGCCGACTGGCCGGCTGGCCGACTCCCCCCTGCCCGGAGGAACCCTCTGGAATTCGCTGGTCACCACCGTGTGCAAACGAGTTCAGCGAAGGCGAGGACCAGATGGGTCGACACGGAGGTCTCCTCCTCCTCCTCCTCCCCTCCTCCGCCTCCTCCTCCTCCTCCTCCCCTCCTCCTCCTCCTCCTCCTCCTCCTCCTCCTCCTCCTCCTCCTCCTCCTCCTCCTCCTCCTCCTCCTCCTCCTCCTCCTGGCGACCCACCGGAACAAGCCGTCAGAGCGGCCGCGCGCAGCCCACCCCCCCCCCGAGGGCCCTCGCGGCCGGGGCAAAGGGGGCACTGCGGAGGCCGATGGCGAGGGAGGCAGCAGCACTGCCAGGCTCCAGGCTTGCGCCAGGGAGGCAGGGCCGGCCGCGCGTGCTCCGGCGCGCGCTGCGACGGGTGGGGCTCTGGCGCTCTCCGTACTCGAACCAACGGGGCTGAACCAACCAGACTGGACCACGATGCGACCCGAATCGGCCAGAGCGAATCGAGCGCACGCCGAAACAGGCCGAGGCGAAGCTCGGGGCAACCATGTCCTTGTCGTTCAGGTACGAGGAGAGCGTATCCAGCGACATGTCCTCCACCTTGTGGTTGGTCATGGGCTCCAACGTCGGGCGCGCCGTCGTCTCTACTTTCTCCGTCTCCGCGCCGGCGTCGGGCTCTTTCTGGGAAGGACGGGGGGGGGGGGGGGCGAAGGGGCCAGGAGCAGCATGCGAAGGAGGAGCGCCGAGGCGCACAGCCGAGTTGCTCACATAACAAGCCTAGGATGTAGTCCTGGCAGGCTTCCACTGGCCCCCCTGGGCAGCCCTGGGACATCTGTACACGAGAGCGGCCAGGACCGAACAACAAGTGTTCGAAACAACATGTTCGAAGCAGGGGAATCCGAAGCAACCACTTGAAACAAAATCCAACTTGGGGCCCCACGCGCCTCCAGGGCGCCGCCAGAGGAAGCGCTGGGGTGTTGAGGCCGCCCTAGGCTGCCCTGAGGGACCCCTGAAGCCAGCCCGCACCACATCCAGCGGCTGTCTGCACAGAACCTTACGCCTTGCCTGCTGGAAGGGAGGGGAGGAGGAGAATGAGGAGGAGGAGGAGGAGGAGGAGGAGGAGAAGGGGGAGGAGGAGGGAGGAGGAAGGAGGAGGAGGGAAGGAGGAGGAGGAGGACCAGAGTAAACTTACGATGTATCGACGACGCTGCAATGCTCCCTCCCGCCCCCCGTCAGCTACGCGGAAGCCCCTCGAAGTCTCCCTTTCCACGGCGGGAAGCGCACCCCTCGAACAACGAGAGTGCCCGATGGGCCTGCCTCTCAAATGAGGCCCCCGTGTTGCACAGGATCCACCCTCCATCCTTCCAGCTGCCAAAAAAAATCAAAGGCCTCCTCCTCCCCTCCTCCCCCCTCCTCCCCTCCTCCTCTCCTCCTCCTCCTCCTCCTCCTCCTCCTCCTCCTCCTCCTCCTCCTCCGCTCCTCCTCCTCCTCCTCCTCCTCCTCCTCCTCCTCCTCCTCCTCCCCTCCTCCTCCTCCTCTCTCCTCCCCCTCCTCCTCCTCTCCTCCTCCTCCTCCTCTCCTCCTCCTCCCTTCCGCTCCTCCTCCTCCCCTCTCCTCCTGCTCCCGCTCTCCTCCGCTCCTCTCCTCCTCCTCCTCCTCCTCCTCCTCCTCCTCCTGATCTTGCTCTTTCCTCCCCCTCCTCCTCCTCCTCCTCCTCCTCCTCATCTCATCATCATCATCATCATCATCATCAGCATCATCAATCATCATCATCATCATCATCATCATCATCATCATCATCATCATCATCATCATCATCATCATCATCATCATCATCATCATCAGCATCATCATCATCATCATCATCATCATCATCAGCAGCAGCAGCATCATCATGAGCATCAGCATCAACATCATCATCATCAGCAGCATCAGCATCATCCTAATCATTATCATCATTATCATCATCATCAGCAGCAGCATCATCATCATCAGCAGCATCATCATCACCATCAGCAGCAGCATCAGCATCAGATACAGCATCAACATCATCATCGTCATCGTCATCACCATCATCATCATCATCATCATCATCATCATCATCATCATTATCATCATCAGCATCATCATCATGATCACCATCAGCATCAGCATCATCATCATCATCACCAGTATCATCAGTGTCAGCATCATCCTAATCATTGTCATCATCATCATCACCATCAGCAGCAGCAGCAGTATCATCGTCATCATCACCAGCATCATCATCAGTATCATCATCATCATCATCATCATCATCATCATCATCATCATCAGCATCATCATCATCATAATCATCATCATCATCATCATCATCATCATCGTTCTCGTCATCATCATCATCATCATCGTCATCATCATCACCATCATCGTCGTCGTCATCATCATCATCATCATCATCATCATCATCATCAGCATCGTCATCATCATCAAAGGATCCACCCTCCATCCTTCCAGCAATCACACAAAAAAAACAAGGGCAGGGCAGCAAGGCGAAAAGAGGTGTCAAGAGAGTGCCCCGCACTGAAAACACAGTTCGTCCACCCGTGCAAATCAGAAAAATTCAAAGACAGGGCAGCAAGGCGAAAAGAGATGACACGAGATTGCCCCGCTCTGAAAACATAGTTCGTCCACCCGTGTAACTGGCGCACAATGTCAAAGTCAGGGGCAGCAAAGTTGTACAAATCACCAGCGAGACCCCCATTTTGAAAAGCAGCCGCTCTCGATCCGTATCCGCCAGCCTCCTTATAAGGCCACCAGGCTGTAGGCCGAAGTGTGCTGCTCACTGCGCTGTAACCACGCCCTGATCGCATTCTCTGAATCCATACAAGGGCGCGGGGCAAATAAAAATACGCGAAACTCGCGCCCCTGGGGCCATAATCCTTCGTGAATTATACAATATTTGCGTCCCCGAGGCCACAAACCTTAGTAAATTAAGCAATTGTTGCGCCCCCGAGGCAACAAACCCTCGCAAATTCCACAATAGTCGCGTCCCTGAGGCGACACACCCTTGTAAATTAAACCGGATTCGCGTCCCCAGAGCCATACACTTTGCCTAATTACATAAGATCCGCATTGCCGAGGCAAAGAGTGCTCCAAGGCGCACGAAGATGGTTCCAAGACGGCCCAAGAGGGCCTAAAGAGGCCCCAAGAGCGCTCCAAAACGCCTCCCGAGAGAGCCCCAAGAGGCCAATACCGTAAATCTTACATTGTTTTTTGTTGAAGGCCTTCTCACATGTTCGGCTTTCCGACGCTCCTGGACGGCTCAAGAAGCCCCCAAGACCGCCCCAAGACAGCCTAAGACACCTCCAAGAGGGCCCCATGGCTGCCAAAGAGGCTCCAAGACGGCCCAAGAAGCGCTCAAGACTGCCGCCCAAGAGGGCCCCAAGACGGCCCCAAGAGGGGCCCAGGCAGGGGACCACGAACCGAACTTTCGACATTTGTCCCCGAGAAGCCCCCAGGAGGCCCCTGGAGGCCGCCAAGAGGCCCCAAGAGGCGCCCAAGACGCGCCCAAGAGGCCTACAAGAGGCCAAAAAAATACCCCACGAGGCCCCAAGAGGCCCCCAAGAGGCGCCCAAACCGCCTCCAAGAGGCCCCCGAGGGGCTCCCCACGACACCCCAACACATATACAAGAGGCCTTAGACACACAACCCAGGCACGGTGGCGGGATGGGCCGAAGGTCACTGGGATCCGCCGCCCCCTGTCGACTCATCGCAGGGGTGCCTGGCGTGCTTGACCCTTTCGGTTTTGGTTTTGGTTCTTTTTCCAAAAGAACTCTCCCAATGGGTTTCGGTCCGTCCCGCCGGGGTACCGGGAGGATTGCCCAGGACCGCAAACTCGACGAAAATTCCTCCCTGAAACGGCCGTTTCGCTCGGGACATCCTCAACAAATGGCGAAGATGGCCCAAGATGGCCTCCAAGTCCGCCCAAGATGGTCCAAGACGGCATCCAAGACGGCCCAAGAGAGTCGAAGACGGCCCAAGACGGCCCAAGAGGCCCCCCAGAGGCCTCCCAGACGGCCCAAGAGGCCTCCAAGAGGTCCTCCAGGAGGGCCCGAAGAGGCCCACATCGTTGATTTTTTTAGGTTTTTGAAGGATTTTGGAATTTGCTTCTTCTCGGCATTCCGACGGCTCAAGACGGCCCAAGAGGCCCCCAAGATCGCCCAAGAGGCCCCCAAGAGAGCCCCATGACGGCCCAAGTGGCCTCCAAGATGGCCCCAAGAGGGCCCCAAGACGGCCCAAGAGGTCCTCCAAGAAGACCCGAAAGAGTCAAAATGGCCTCCAAGGCGGCCAAGATGACCTTCAAGATGCCCACGTGTTCCCCGAAGGCTTTCCAAACCGATTCGGGGAACACATGGTCCGATGGCTTGGCAGGTCTGGCCTCAACGTTCGGCCACATAGGCGCTTCCAAAAAGGCAGGGGGTGGCGGTGGTTCGCCGTAGGCGTCTTCGATCCGCCGCCCCCCGTTGATTCATCAGAGGGGTGCCTGGCGTGCTGAATCCTTTCGCGTTTGGTTTTGGTGCTTTTCCCAAAAGAAGTCTCCCGGCCCGTCCCGCCGGCCACCCGAAAGGGACCTACCTCAACGACCGCAAAAAATCCTCCAAGACGGCTCCAGATGGCCTCCAAGATGGCCACGTTGGCCCGAGATGGCCTCCAAGATGGCCCAAGATGGCGTCCAAGTCGCCAAAGATGGTCCAAGATGGCTTCCAAGACGGCCCGAGAGAGTCCAATATGCCTTTAAGTTCGTCCAAGAAGCCTCCAAGACGGCCCAAGATGGCTCCAAGATGGCCTACGACTGGCCAAGAGGCCCCCACAAGGCCGACAAGACGTCCTCCAGGAAGGCCCGAAAGAGCAAAAGTCATTAAAAGATTTGGGCATTTTCTCCTTATCAGATCTCCGACGGCCCAAGACGGCCCAAGATGCCCCCAACATCGTCCCAAGAGCGTCCAAGAGGCCTCCAAGATGGCCCCATGACTGCCCAAGAGGTCCCCAAGAGGGCCCCAAGAAGACCCCAAGACGGCCAAAGATGGCCCCGATAACACCGAAGATGGCCTCCAAGACGGCCAAGATGGCCTCCAAGATGCCTCCAAGACGGCCAAGAAGGCCTCCAAGACAGCGAAGATGGCCCTAAGATGCACCCAAGACGGCCCCAGATGGCCTCAAGATAGCCTTAGACTGCCTAAAAGGCCCGCAAGAGGCCTCCAAGACGGCCCAAAAGCCCTCCAAGACGTCCTCCAGGAAGGCCCGAAAGGGTCAAAATGGCCTCCAGACGGCCAAGATGACCTTCAAGATGCCTCCAAGACGGCCAAGATGGCCTCCAAGACTGCCCCAAGAAGCCTCCAACACAGCCAATATGGCCCAAGATGGCCTCCAAGACGCGTCCAAGATGGCCAAGATGGCACCAAGAGAGCCCAAGATCCAAGATCACTCCAATTTGGCCTCCATAACGGTCCAAACAAAAATGCCTCCAAGACCGCCAAGATGGCCCAATTCAGCCCCAGAGTGCCTCAAGAGGCTCCCAAGAGGACGCTTCCTCCCTTCCCCTTTTTCTTCAATCTCCTCCTCTTCCCCAACCTCCTCCACGTGTTCCCCGAAAGCTTTCCAAACCGATTCGGGGAACACTCGTTCCGAAAGATTTGCAAGGATCTGACCCAGCCTTCGGCCAGCAGGCCCCAAGACGCCTCAAAAAGCTCACAAGAGCCCCCAAGGGGCCCCGAACACGCCCATTCCTTGCTCTCCTCTTCTTCCCCGTCCTCCCCCGCGTGTTCCCCGAAGGCTTTCCAAACCGATTCGGGGAACACATGGTCCGATAGTTTGGCAGGACTCTGTCCTCAACGGTCACATAGGCGCTTCCGAAAGGGCAGGGGGCGGCGGTGACTCGCCGTAGGCGTCTTCGCTAAGGCCAACGTCTCAATATGCGCTGATGATTCCTATCCGCCCCCGCATGATGTTCCCAAATGCGGCAGCGCCGAGACGCACCGACGCGACTCTGATACATCCCGTTATGATAGAGAGGGGGCCGGCGGCAGGGGGCGAAGCCCTTACATACGGACAACACATGAACAGCGTGGAATTTCAGGACATATAATGCTTGTTGCTCCCGAAGGGACAATAGGATGCTTGACATGATCCAGACTGGCCTTGTCACGTAATACATCTTACAGCGCCTCTTTCGGGCGGCGTGGAAAATCATACGCACTATGAGAACAGATGCCTGAAGAAATGCAGACTGGGCGCGTCACGGAATACGCTTGGCAGGGCCCCCTGTGGAGCGACATGACTGGACAACGCTGCGAGAAGATGTGCGAATGCGCCCGAAAGCGAAAGGCTGGCGCCACAGCAAGAAACTGAAGCTGCGGGCCGAAAGACGGGGCCCGTTTCCTCACACTTTCAGGTGAAACAGGACTGAAGCGAAATATGTATTTAAACGAGCGTCGCAACTGCTGGCAATAGTTAAGACAAATGCGCGCGAGGCAGCCTGGATTTCGAGCACGAGCCGTTCTCCGTCGAACCAGCCGTTGGTAAAGTTCAACCCATGTGCGCAGCGCTAAAGCGAGAGCCCGATTTAAATTAGCCTGGCGAAAGACCAAACCATATGCAGTTGTGAGTTCCGCAATTGTGAATATTTTTTTCGGTGGCCTTCCCTGTGGGGCCACGAAACGCTGTACTGGGTGGGTGAAACGCAGCGAGCAAGGGCCGTGTTGGGTGGTGGCGGACGCACGCGGGCGGTGCCACTGGGACCTTCCGTGGATCTCCCTATGGGGCCACGAAACGCTGTACTGGGTGGGTGAAACGCAAGGGGCAAGCGCTGTGCTGGGCGGTGGCGGACGCATGCGGGCGGTGCCACTGGGACCTTCGGTGGAGCCCCCTTTTATGGGGCCACGAAACGCTGTACTGGGTGGGTGAAACGCAGGGAGCAAGGGCTGTGCTGGGTGGTGGCGGACGCATGCGGGCGGTGCCACTGGGACCTTCGGTGGAGCCCCGTATGGGGCCGCGAATCGCTGTACTGGGTGGGTGAAACGCAGCGAGCAAGGGCTGTGCTGGGCGGTGGCGAACGCATGCGGGCGGTGCCATTGAGACCTTCGGTGGACCTCCCTATGGGGCCGCGAATCGCTGTACTGGGTGGGTGAAACGCAGGGAGCAAGGGTTGCGCTGGGTGGTGGCGGACGCATGCGGGCGGTGCCACTGGGACCTTCGGTGGACCTCCCTATGGGACCGTGAAACGCTGTACTGGGTGGGTGAAACGCAGGGAGCAAGCGCTGTGCTGGGCGGTGGCGGACGCATGCGGGCGGTGCCACCGGGACCTTCGGTGGAGCCCCCTTATGGGGCCACGAAGCGCTGCACTGGGTGGGTGAAACGCAGCAAGCAAGTGCTGTGCTGGGTGCGGGCGGTGCCACTGGGACCTTTGGTGGAGCTCCCTACGGGACCACGAAACGCTGTACTGGGTGGGTGAAACGCAGCGAGCAAGGGCTGCGCTGGGTGGTGGCGGACGCATGCGGGCGGTGCCACTGGGACCTTCGGTGGAGCCCCCTTTATGGGGCCACGAAACGCTGTACTGGGTGGGTGAAACGCACGGGTCAAGGGCTGTGCTGGGTGGTGGCGGACGCATGCGGGCGGTGCCACTGGGACCTTCGGTGGAGCCCCCTTATGGGGCCACGAGGCGCTGTACTGGGTGGGTGAAACGCAGCGAGCAAGGGCTGTGCTGGGCGGTGGCGAACGCATGCGGGCGGTGCCATTGGGACCTTCGGTGGACCTCCCTATGGGACCGCGAATCGCTGTACTCGGTGGGTGAAACGCAGGGAGCAAGGGCTGTGCTGGGTGGTGGCGGACGCATGCGGGCGGTGCCACTGGGACCTTCGGTGGAGCCACCTTATGGGACCGCGAAACGCTGTACTGGGTGGGTGAAACGCAGGGAGCAAGCGCTGTGCTGGGCGGTGGCGGACGCACGCGGGCGGTGCCACCGACACCTTCGGTGGAGCCCCCTTTTATGGGGCCACGAAACGCTGCACTGGGTGGGTGAAACGCAGCGAGCAAGGGCTGTGCTGGGTGGTGGCGGACGCATGCGGGCGGTGCCACTGGGACCTTCGGTGGAGCTCCCTACGGGACCACGAAACGCTGTACTGGGTGGGTGAAACGCACGGGTCAAGGGCTGTGCTGGGTGGTGGCGGACGCATGCGGGCGGTGCCACTGGGACCTTCGGTGGAGCCCCCTATGGGGCCACGAAGCGCTGTACTGGGTGGGTGAAACGCAGGGAGCAAGGGGCTGTGCTGGGCGGTGGCGGACGCATGCGGGCGGTGCCATTGGGACCTTCGGTGGACCTCCCTATGGGACCGTGAAACGCTGTACTGGGTGGGTGAAACGCAGGGAGCAAGCGCTGTGCTGGGCGGTGGCGGACGCATGCGGGCGGTGCCACCGGGACCTTCGGTGGAGCCCCCTTTTATGGGGCCACGAAGCGCTGCACTGGGTGGGTGAAACGCAGCAAGCAAGTGCTGTGCTGGGTGCGGGCGGTGCCACTGGGACCTTTGGTGGAGCTCCCTACGGGACCACGAAACGCTGTACTGGGTGGGTGAAACGCAGCGAGCAAGGGCTGCGCTGGGTGGTGGCGGACGCATGCGGGCGGTGCCACTGGGACCTTCGGTGGAGCCCCCTATGGGGCCACGAAGCGCTGTACTGGGTGGGTGAAACGCAGGGAGCAAGGGCTGTGCTGGGCGGTGGCGGACGCATGCGGGCGGTGCCATTGGGACCTTCGGTGGAGCCCCCTATGGGGCCACGAAACGCTGTACTGTCTGGTGAAACGCATGGAAGAAGGAGGGGGAAGGGGAGGAGGAGGAGAGGAGAAGAGGAACGCGGGGACCGTCTCTTCAAAGCGAGGACCCAACACCACAGGATGGTCGGAAGAACGCCCAGCCCGCCACAAGTTTAACTGCTGTAGCTGTTAACCCTCGGCATCATCTTAAGCTAAATGAACGTCTCAAGCGAAACGCCCGGCCTGCCCAATGGACACGTCTGGTGGCACAACAAAGGGGAGGCGATTACAAGGAAGAGGAGGGATGGAGGAGGCCCGAGGAGGACGATGACGAGGACAAAGAGGAGGGGGAAAGGGATGAACCTCGTCGTCGGCCTCGAGGAAGCAGGGCTTGCCGCACCCGCCCTTGCTGCGACTGTGCAGAATCTGCTGGAGGTGCTTGAACTTCAGCTCCTCTGGGAACGAGCTGTCGAACCTCGGGAACCAGTCTGGGTGCTCCTCGGGAAGCCAGGCTCGCCGTCAGAAGGCCAAAGGTCCCGAGGGAAAGGGCCCCTCTGAGCTGTCCTGGCCGTCTTCGGGCTCCCAGAAGGGGCCCCGCCGGGCCCCGGGGGCCGTCACGGAGCAGAGCAGGAGGAGAAACTGGTCCAGGGGGGGGGGAGCCCCGGGGTGCAGGCCCTGCCTCCCCCAGGGTCCCCTTCCCCCAGGCCAGGAGGAGGAGGCAGCAAGGAGCAGGAGGAGGAGGAGAAAGGAGGAGGAGGAGGAGGAGGAGGAGGAGGAGGAGGAGGAGGAGGAGAGAGTAGGAGGAGGAGGAGGAGAGGAGGAGGAGGGAGGAGGAGGAGAGGAGGAAGGAGGAGGAGGAGGAGAGGAGGAGGAGAGGAGGAGGAGGAGGAGGAAGGAGGAGAGAGAGAAGGAGAGGGAGGGGGGCGAGGCGGGTGCCTCCAGGTGTCTCGTCGCCCCCCTCGAGAAAGAAGCACACAAAAGAAAACGTTTTCCTCGAAGTTCCTGGAGGCCCTTGTCGAGGGCCCACTGCACGATCGCGTGGCAGCGGTCGCCGGGCACGGCATCCTCGCACACTTCGGCCGGCCCAGCGGCGGCGCGCAGCGAGGCGCCCTCTGACGCATCGTCAAGCAATCGTCGTCGTCGCCGCCGCCCGTCTCCGCTGGAGGGGGAGGAGGAGGAGGAGGAGGAGGAGGAGGAGGAGGAGGAGGAGGAGGAGGAGGAGGAGGAGGCCGAGGAGGAGGAGGAGAGAGCGGAGGAGAGAGGAGAGTGTTCGCGGGCGGGAGACGTATCCATATTCCCGGCCTCGCGGGCCAGGCCCTTGGGGGCGCGCCCCCGTGGATACGGGGCAGTGTTCGCGGATGCCTCGCGCGGAACGTGCCCACGCGACCGCGGGTCCGCGGGACCGTGCCCCGGAATCCAGGCCGCGAGCGAGCGGATGCGGATATCTTGGCTGCTCCTAGGAGCAGAGAGGAGGAGGTTTACGGCCTGGTACGGTATGGATTGGCCCTGAAGACGAGGTCAAGCCCCGATCACAGCTCGAGCTCTGCCTCGCAATCCGGGAGGAGGCTTCAGGAGGAGGAGACGGAGAAGGAGGAGAAAGAGGAGGGGGAGGAGGAGCAAGAAGAGGGAGGAGAACCAGAGTAAACCCAACAGACATCAACGATGCTGCAATACACCCTCCTGCCCCAAGCCCCCTCCGCACAGGTCCTTGCAGGCAGCGCGTGCTTCCCAGCGCGGGGCGCCCCCGTGGAAAGACCCGGGCCCAATGGGGCCCGCAAGCTCGGGCGGGGGCTCCGTCTTGGAAGGGATCTGCCCGCCATCCTGCCCTCCGCCCGTGTGGCTGCTGTTTGTGTGTTCAAGTGTGCGCTTTGCCAAGACAAAAGCCCTGGTCTGGAAACAGCCCATTCTCCATGGGAGGCGTTCTGTGTGAGCCAGAGGGCTGGGGAAAACGGAAGAAGAGGAGGAGCGAAGAGATATGATAATAGAGGAGGGCAGAGCAGGAGTAGAAGGACGATAAGGAGAAGGAAACGTAAGAAGAAGAAGAAGAAGACGAATAAGGAGAGAAAGAAGAGACGAGGAAGAAGGAAAGGAGGTGGAGGTGGAGGGAGAGAGGCGGAGGAAAGAGGAAAGAGGAAGAGGAGGAGGAGGAGGAGAGGCAGGAGCAGGAGCAGGATGAGAAACGGGGAGGAGGAACAGGAGTGAGGAGAGAGGAGGGAGACGGAGGAGTAGGAGGAGGAGGAGGAGGAGGGCAACAGAGGAGACAAGAGAGAGGAGGGGATGGGGATGAAGATGAGGGAGGAAGAGGAGGAGGAGGAGGAGGGGTAGGAGGAGGAGGGAGAAAAAGATACTCCCCAAACTCTGTTTGCACTGAGGGGTTCTTGCTCTCCTTTTCGGAAATGGGCCCGTCTGCGGGCCCTGCGGCCCCGTTCCCGTTCGTCGCCGCCCCGCTTCTCCCCAACATAAAACCCGTTTGCGGGACCTGCGGCCCCGTTCCCATCCGTCGCAACACCACATAGTTTACACTACATAACTTACACCATGTAGATTGCACAACCTATATTGCACGACGCAGCTTACGCCACACAGCGTGCACCCCACATAGATTACCCTGAACAGCTTGCGCCGCGGAGATCGCACTAGATTGCACCACAGAGTTTGTACCACATCGTTTGCACCACGCAGCTTGCATCACATAGCTTGCACCACATAGCTCGCAGCAAATAGCGTGCACCTCACAGGTTGCACTGCGTAAATTCTCCCTTCTAAAAAATCAGTGGGATCTACCCCCCCCTGGGGTTAACCGGCCACCTTTCCGCATTGCAAGTTAAGCGGTTCTGCCCCATCGTCCATCCGAACTATGACCTCATACCATCCCAGGCAGGCCTGTCTCGGCCCCCCACTCATCCACTGCAACAAATAATCGCGCACGACGTGCACACGCGCGAGGTCGTCGCGCGCGCATGCCGACATACAAAATGCGCATAAAAACTAGCACCTGGGCCTCTCGCGCGCGCGTATCGAAATCCTTCACAAACCTTCATCGCCGGCGCGAGGACATTAGGATCGTTATCGGCGGGCGTCATCAACATCGTCGCCGTCAGTGGCCTTGCCGTCGTCATCGCCACCATCGTCACCATCATCGCTACTCCCATAATCGTGTTTACCGTTGTCGGAGTCGCCATGATACCGCGCCCGCCCAAGTCACCGACTCGCACTGAGGTGCCCGCTGGAAAGTACCCAACGGTCTGCGCTACCGCGGCCTCGTCGGTCGCGCCAAAGTAGCTGGCCGCTGTGCGCGCGAGCATGCGCGGGCTAGCGCGGCCGCAGAGATGCAGCAGCCAACGCCAAGCACTCATCGCAATCGCCGCCGCATTGTTTTGGCAAACCAAATTGCGGGCGGTTGGGTGGGATGTTTGGAAGAGCATGGAATGTGTTAACTCGTTTGCAACAACCAATTCTCCTTTTCATTAAACATGTATAGGATCTACCACCCTCCCCCCCGGACTTATCCACTCACCGGGAACCGATGTAAAACACACAGGATTCGAACCCCATGCTCATCCCGCCTGAAAATTATACTATCCCAGCCAAGCCGATATCGACCCCCCCTCGGTCCCCTTGCCAGAAATACAATGCGCGCGCACTCGTTTCTCAAAAATCATAAGGTTTCAACAAAAAAAAAAAAAAAAAAAAAAAAAAAAAACTTCCAAAAAATTGACGAAGTGCACACGCGCGCGTCGTCGCGCGCACTTGCCAGAATCCTTCAAAAACCATCGGTTCCGGAAGGATGTCAAAATCGAGTGTCCAAGTATATACGTATCTATCTATATGTATAACAAACCAAGGTTTCGTAACACGGATGTTCAACAAAAGCGTTCGCGCGCTCTTGCGAATCTTCAAGAAAACCATAAGTTGATCAACGCTGTCATAAAATACTATCAAACGGGTTTCGCGCGCGCATGCCGAGATCTTTCAAACGCCGTGGCGCGCGAGCTGGGATGGCACGATCCGCGTCAAATAATACCACGCGAGCCATTTTCGCGCGCCTGCCGCGCGCGCATGTCGAATTCCTTCCACAACCTTCATCACCGACGCGAAGACGCCGTCATCGTCGCCGGCGTGATCGGCATCGGCGCCGTCATCGCCACTATCATCATCATCGTGTCTGCTGCAATTGTCGTCTCCAACATCGCCACTATCATCGCCATCCTGTCTACAAGTGTCGACGTTGCCATGATACCGCACCCGCCCAAGCCGCCGATTCGCACTCAAGTGCCCGCTGGGATATGCCGAGCGGTCAGCACCACCGCGGCCTCGTCGGTCGCGCCAAACTACCTGGCCACTACGCGCGCGCGCGTATGCGCGGGCTGGCGCGGCCGCAGAAACGCAACAGCCAGCGCCAAGCACTCATCGCAATCGCCGCCGCATAAGGTTTGCAAACCAAGTTGCGGGTGGGTGGGTGGGTGGGATGTTTGCGCGAGAAGTGGAGTGGACAACTCACTGCGAACAGGAATTAATTGCACCACATAGATTGCACCACGCAGATTGCACAACGCAGACTTCTCTAGCTAGCTTGCACCACACAGTTTGCACCGCATGGCTTGCATCACACAGCTTGCACCGCAGGGTGGCACCATATAGCTTGAACCTCCACAGTGGAATAACTTGCTGCTTGGGGTCCACGCTGGCTAACATTATTTTCGTTGAGTGAATCCTCGTCCAAGGCAGCCGCTCAACAGGCGTGAAGAGGACCTGCTGCGACGAAAACATATTCAAGAGCGCTTAGACCGCAGACGGACCAATGGCTGTCAAAGTATCCCGGGGCGTCCTCACCCGAAAGAACCCTGCGGAGACCGCCTGGCCGAGAAACGCAAGCTGATCCGAGGCAGCCCGGACAAGGCTCTGCGGTGGCAATGGCTTGCCCCTAACCTCAGTAGGATGGAGACCACGGCGCAGTTTCAAGAGCGTCTAACGTTACGTCGGGCATGTCCCCCTACAGGAGGGAGTTGGACGGAAAACTAAACACTGTTCAAAAATATTCAAACAATACCCAAACCTAGCAAAAAAAACGCATTCCAAGACTAGTTGCGACTATTTTTGAACACTCCTCTTGTAGAGGGACACGCCCGACTTAATTCTAACGCATTATGTACAGACGGTTGTCCTTCGGCACCTGCTCGGGCAAAAGGCCGGCGCAGCCTGCCCAGTGCGAGGTCTTCGATGTGCCAGGAGGCGCCGTGCTTGCCGCAGGGCCAAATGAAAACTTGGGCACCTGCCGTGTTTAAGGACGTGCGAAGCGTCTAGTGGTACGTTCCACCAAGGCGGAAGGGCCTCACTGCAACCAGTTCGCAGGACCTGTCCGTCGTGGGGGCCTCGGGCCGCGGCTGGTGCCGCATTCGTGGGATGAGAGAGGACGAGGGGAAGGGGGGAGGAGGAAGAAGAGGAAGAGGAGGAGGGGAGAGGACGAGGAGAAGGGGGAGGGAGGGGGAAAGAGGAGCAAGGGAAGGGAAAGAAGAGAAGGACGAGGAGGAAGAGAAGGAGGAGGAGGAGGAGGAGGAGGAGGAGGGAGGGAGGCGGACCAAAGCAAATCCTGGATGCATAAACGATGCTGTGAGACAATCTCTCGTCCCAGATCCCCCACACACACACACACACACACACACACACACACACACACACACACACACACACACAGAAGTCCCGACGAATATAGCGCTTCCATTGCGCAAAGCACCCCTCTCGAAAAGAGGGCCTTGTGGGCCTGCTGTCCAGGCGAGGCCCCGCTTTGGTAAGGGGTCCTCCCCCCCGTCTTCAAGCTAGGCTGAAGCGCCAAGAGGAAGCGGTGATAGAACTTGCCCTGGGCTCACGTTGCCCCCATCGTACTGAAAGACCACATCCCAGAAGTAATCCCGAGCACCTCGAAAAGTGTCGAAAGGGTGCCGAAACAGTGTCGAAACAGTGTCGGACGAGTGTCTCCCACGGACCGAAACGTGAGGACCCTCGAGTTTCGGTATTTTTCCTGTTGGTGCTCGAAATTCTTTCTGGCGGCCAAGGCTAAAGTATGTTGGAACATCATAACCCTGGGTGGGATATTCATCGAGGGGTGGGCGAG